AAGCCGCTGGGCGAGCCCCGCAGCGGTTGGGCTCTGCGCTGGGAGCGGAGATGGCGACGACAGGTGGCGAGGGGCTCGGGGCGACGTCCCGAGCGCGGCGCTGCAACTGCGGACGCTCATCCGAGTTCAGCCCGCCCCGACCCCGGGAAACTGGAGCATCTCCTCCCCGAGCTGACTCGCGGATGAGCCCCACTGGCTGTGAGGACTGCATCTCGAGTCCCGCCCCCTGGTTGTAAAACGGCACCCGTGGCGTCCGGTGGTTTGGGACCGCCACCGGGCCACCACACGGAGCAAGAAGCAGCCCCTGAAGCGACTCTAGAGCCTCACTCAGCCTCCCCTTAGGAGCGCGGGCCCTTTGCGCTGGTGCTGCCGGCTTCCTCAGGCTCCCCTTCTCAGCGGCGTGTTCGCACACGCTCCCCCAGTTTCAAGCGCTGCCTTTCACAACCCAGTTTAACGAGATGGTGACGCAACCGCAAACTTTTCCAAATTCGTAGCGTTTCCTCAGGACGGTAGGAGGGTTTTCCATTTCCTCTCTTAAAACGGTGGTTACTAACATTTGGATCGTGATCTTTTGGAAAATAAAGTCCCCATCCCCAGCCACACATAAAATTGCATTTCATTTCGGATTTCAGCGTGGAGGAGATTCCATTCACCTCAGCTTAAGAACTCTTCCCTCACAGCTCGGTTTTCTGTTGTTAGCCCGCACATTTCTCTTGAGATGACTAGGTCTCACAAAAAGGTCCCTCATCCTGTCAGACTAGCAACTTGCTTTCCTGTGATGATTAACACTGCCTTCGCTCTCCTTAGGTTTTACATATTTACTGATTTTATGGTCATAAAATGGATCTTTCCAAATTCAATGGCTTCTCACGGTGGGAGACCTACACCTCACTAAAACATTGTCCTCCCCCAGGAAAGCTCGGATACCACCTTTTAGATTTCTAGATTTCTAAGTCTGGCCACTGAAGTGAATTGTTCCTGGAGATTCAGTGTTTCTTACTGGTTTTTAATACATTGTAGAATTTTGCCATCCCAACCCGATTTTCCTCCCAGGAGCCTTCTTTCTGTTTTCCTGTTGGATACCTGTTTTGTGGTGCTAGAGAGCATGCTAGGGAAGCACACTCTGTCTCCAGCCCCTCACTTCAGTGTGGCTGGGTGGTTCTATCAACATGGCCAGGGAAGGCCTTTGAGATGACACAGTGAGTTCTGAGTGGCAAGCAGGAGTCAGTGATGACAGATCTGGAGAACATTCTAGAAGGAGAACAGGTAATACTACCCTCAGGTGAGAACAAGTTAAAAGTGAGGCTTGTTTATTACATAGTTGGGGTTAATCTGAATATTGTTACACAGCTGAATTTTATATGTACTTCCCAAAATGCATTTCTCCCCTGCTCCCCCCCCCTCCGTTTTTTGTTGTTTTGTTTTTTGTCTGTTCTTTTTGAGGCAGGATTTCTTTGTGCAGTTTTGAAGCCTGTCCTGGAACTCGCTCTGTAGACCAGGCTGGTCACATAGATCCACCTGTCTCTACTTCCAGAGTGCTGGGATTAAAGGCATGTGCCACCACTGCCCTCGCTCCCCTTTTAAAAATCAAAATTCATTCTTGAAAGTCCAAAGCTTAACATCCTACCCCCACCAAGATGGCATTGAACCTGGAATATCGGTGGAGAATAAAACAAGACTGATTTCTTCACTGTCACAAAGATAAAACCATGAGAACTGTGGCAGTCAACAAAGTGGATGAGGTGACTGTTTTCAGTCTGAAATTCTAGAAAACTTCCTAAAGGATATGTGGTAAAGAGTTTCAAAAGAGTCTGCTATTCTTCCTGGAATCTTTCCTAAAACTTCATGGAGGAGCTGGAGAGATGGCTCAGAGGTTAAGAACGATTGTTGCAACCAGGAGTGGTGGTGAATGCCTTTAATCTCAGCACTCTGGAGCCAGAGACAGGTGATCAGCCTGGTCTACAGAGTGAATTCCAAGATAGCCAAGGCTACACAGAGAAAACCCTGTCTCAAAAAAACAAAACCAAGCCGGGAGTTGGTGGCACATGCCTTTAATCCCAGCACTGGGGAGGCAGAGGCAGGCCTATGTCCATGAGTTCGAGGCCAGCCTGGTCTCCAGAGTGAGTGCCAGGATAGGCTCCAAAGACACACAGAGAAACCCTGTCTCGAAATCCCCCCCCCAAAAAAAACACCAACCAAACAAAAACACTTGTTTTAGAGGATTGGGTTTGAGTCCCAGCAACCATATGGTGGTTCTCAACCTTCCATAACCCCAGTTTCAGGGGATCCAATACCCTTTTCTGATTTCTTACACTGTGGTGCACATACATAGACATAAGTCTAAAAAAAAAAAACAAAAAAAAAACCCAACCAGCCTTTTCCAGGAAAACAGTTTTGAAGCAAGGCATCCTTCTCGTTTCTCAATCAGTTTTTCCATCTTTACAAAACAAAGGAGTGATCTCACCCATCCTTCACCTTGCTGATTCATTCCCAGGCACATAAAAAACCTCCCGCTTGTCAAGAGATCCTAATGTTGGCAAGTTTTCCCTTCTTTACTCACAATTATAGAAGTCATGTCTTTCCTGGTTTAAATATATTCCTGGTAAAAAGAAACAAATTATGTTCTTTGGTCCTATTAGATATTCCTCTCCCCTGGTCCCCTTCTCTCTCTGTCTCTCTCTCTCTGTCTCTCTCTCTCTGTCTCTCTCTCTCTCTCTCTCTCTCTCTCTCTCTCTCTCTGTGTGTGTGTGTGTGTGAGAGAGAGAGAGAGAGAGAGAGAGAGAGAGAGGAACAGTGGGTTTTTAACCTACATCACTATTCCAACCCCTGACTGCTTTCAAAAGATGTCACTGTATTCTCCGAGGTCATAGCAAAAAATGTAATATGAAATGATGTCTAATTTCATTCAGGTAAGAGCTGGGTTTTAGCTATTTATTCTGGGACTAGGATATTCAAGATGTACACTTTCTATGCTTTGTGCTGGGAGCTAAGAATGTGCTGCAAAGACAGTGCCTTGCAACTCACAATAAAAAAATAAAAGCTGAATGATACTCATTTTGGGGAATGGCTCTACTTTGGCCTTAATTTTATATTTTGTGTTATTTCTATGACCCCCCCCCCATAGATAGTATTGGGGATGGAACCTAGAGCTTATGCACATGAGACAAATGCTGTACCATTGAACGGTAATGCCAGACTCACCGTGTTATTTCTAGAAGTCTGTGGAAAGTATATTCCTACCTATTTTTCACAAGTGAACACTATGACATCAATAAAAGATGTTGGGGGCTGACAGGTGGCTCAGTGTTTAAGAGCACTGGCTGCTCTTCCAAGGCCCTGGGTTCAGTTCCCAGCACCCACATGGTAACTCATAACCATCTATAATGCCAGTCCTAGGATAGCCAGTGCCCTATTCTGGCTTCTATAGGTACCCCAGGATACATGTGGTACACAGACATACATGCAGACAAAGCATTAGTACACATTAAAATTTTTTGAAAAAAGTTCAAGTGAACTTGTGTCTTACGTTGTTTGATATCTAACTTAGAGACATTTTCATTTTCCTTTGTCAAAAGATTATTGATTGTGCCACTTTATACCCAATACAATGACACTTAGGAGGCTAAAGCAGGAGGATCTCCAGCCGAGGCCTACATAGATTCTGCCTCCAAAAACAAACAGAAAAGCATAATCATGGCTGAAAACAACAATCATTGTTGAGGGTGCAGAGAAATGGGAATTCTCACCCATTGGTGATAGGAATGTGCAAGCCACTGTTTCACGGTGTGGTGAATCCTCAAAAGTTTGAACGAGC